GAAATATATTCCAATTTTCAAAACTTGCCCCTCGATGCCCCAATTAAAAATAAGTCTATTTGTTTGCAGTGAGGTACCGTTTCAAATACGAGGATTTATTTATTGTATGGCTGAAAAAGAAAGATAAAAATGTTTTTGAGCACGTCAATCAAATAGTTGGAAATGATATAACAGTAGTTATTAGCAATAAAATTCAAAATAAAATTTATTGTTCGTGCAGTTTTTTTTAACGAAAATTGGTCTGATGGTCAAAGAACAATGGGCCGATTTAAAATTAAAAATTCGGATTGGTTGAAGAGAAAAATTACATTTACTGATGATTATTACATTTTTACATTTTACATTTTTACATTTTTACATTTTACAAATTACATTTACTGATGATGATTAGAGGTGTACCGGATATTTTTGCCGGATATGCTAGATATTGAACTTTTCTCAAGTTCTATAAGTGTTTATAAAGTAAAAATAAGTTTTGCTATTCTACATTAAATAGTGTTCAAGATTTAAAAAACGAAATCAATAAAAAACTGGTATAACACTGGTATATGCGTTGATAATGTATATAAAAAAAAAAGTTTTTTATAGCCAAATTTTAGTCTTTTTTTAGTTATTATTTTCTATACTTTGTACATATACCATGTTATACAGTTTTTTACTAATTTTTTTAAAGTAAGATCTTGAATACTAGTTATTGTAGACAAGCAAAAAAAACTTTTTTCTTTTTAAACACTTATAGAACCATAGAGAAGTTCACTATCCGGCATATCCGGCAAAAATACCCGGTACAACTCTACTGATGATACTATGATAATAAATTTTTGTTTATAGGCATTCAGCCTATAAACAAAAATTTTGATTCAAATTTATTCGTGACAACTTTTGTATTACATAGACATAATTAATAAGATCTTATGAAACAATCGCACTCCTCAATCTGTGCGGTTTTCTAGACCATTAAAAGTTTAATACATAGAGGAATTCAATAAACACATTTTGAAAGAAAAATATGATATTGACGGACAAATAAATAAGTTGAGCCAACATCAATTTTTTCTCGTCTAATAATAAAAAAAATTCAAATTAGTTTTACTTTATTTGTGACGCTGATTGATAGCAACAAACTATTAAAATATTTATATGAATATATATATATATATATATATATATATATATATATATATATATATATATATATATATATATATATATATATACATTTATTACGTTGCATAACGCCTCAAAACGCTCTTTTAAATGAAAGAATGCAAAGAAGGCAAATCTTACGATTCTTACTACTTTTCAAAGTATTGGTTGGCAAGTTCACTTGAAAAATTTACCAAACAAAACCAAAACTGGAATTTTTTAAGACAAAATCTCGCAGGTGCTGTTGACAGTCACTCAAACCTCCATTAGTGAAATATGCAACAGCAGATGCCACCATATGTTTAAAAATTGACCAAATGGCAATGATCAGGGTAATAATCAGGAACATCAGAAATTTTATTAACTTAAAATATAACTACCATGTCCGTAGAAACACTGGGGACATTTTCTGTCAATTTTTCTGTATTAAAAACGTTTTTTGTCAAGTAGAAAATGGAAATCTAAAACTAAACATATAAGCTTAACTAATACACTGGCTCATAGTAAGAACACTGTCTCATAGTAAGAACTTAATGTTTAACAAAGTGTTCCTGTTCCCTGCAAATATATTTTTCTTTTTTACGACAAAAATATTCTTATTTATACTTAGACAATCACTGCCAGCCCTTATTTTATGGTATATAATTTTTATCATTTGAATGTTTTCTATAGCGTTCGTAACTTGGTGTTAGTGTAAAAGTCCTGTAATTTTTTATTTTCTTTAAAAAAACTTATGACTTTTTAAATTCTCGATTTCTTTTCGTGGCTCAAAAATAAAAAATACAAAAAAAAAAAATAAAAAACTATAAATACAAAAAAATATGAAGCGTATTATAAAATACTTGCATTATATATATATATATATATATATATATATATATATATATATATATATATATATATATATATATATATATATATATATATATATATATATATATATATATATATATATATATATATATATATATATATATATATATATATATTTTTTACGACAATCATTATTATATATTTCAAAAACAAATAACATTTACATGTCTCCAGTTTATATAAATATCCCTCACAAATATTTACAATATATAAAGAGCGTTAACTGTTTTACGCATGCGCGTTTGACATCGAGTTAAAATAATAAACTTAAAAATTCCTAGTTTATAATATAAAGTGCTGGCTATTAACCCATGCATTCAAAAAATATACACAAGTCCGTCGCACCACAGGGGTACAAGGGACTTGTTTGTCTTTGTTGTTGAAACTATATATTAATATATATTAATAGTACTATGTAGTTGTAAGGAAACTCGCAGAAGACTGAGAAAAGTCTTTTCATCGAGAACCTTTAAAATACAAAATAAACTAAAAGTTTAAAGAGTAAATCTATAAAACACACATTAACTTTTTGAAGTCATCTGTTTATTAATATTTTACTATGTATAGTTGCTAACTATATGTATTTATTATATATTTTTTTTAATTTATTTTTTATTTATTTTTTATTTATTTATTTATTTATTTTTATTTTTATTTATTTTCTTTATTTTTATAGCTTGAATTGTTCTTTTTACATTTTATTATTTAAATTGTTTTTTTATATTTAATACTTATCGATAAAATTGGTTTTGTTAATTATGAGATCTTTTAATTTTTTCTTAAAGGTATTAAGATTATCCAGTTTATTAAGTTCTACATTTTGAGGTATTATTTTGTTGTATAAATAGGGGCCACGGTATGCAATTGAAAATCTCGAAAAATTTGTTTATTTTATAGGCAACGTAAAGTTTCCGGTTCCTCGTGTGATATATCTGTTGGCGTTGGTTTGAAAAAAGTTATTAGTAAAATGAGTTGGGACAAGTCCAAGCTTATATTTGAGCATAAATAAAATATTTTGGTAGATGTTAATTTTATAGATATTTAAAGCATTCAAGTTTTTAAGTAAAGGATCGGCATGAGTGAATTTATTTTTATTATAAACTAATCTTGATGCGTGTTTTTGGTGTATATATAGAGAACTTAATTTAGATTTATTTGTACTTCCCCAGGCAATATTAGCATAGGTTAGGTAACTTTGTATATAAGAAAAATAGAGGATTTTTAGATTCTCCTAGGAAAGTGTAGGTTTGACTTTGTAAAGCATACCGATACTTTTTGATATTTTTGTATTTAGTGTTTTTATATGGGCTTTCCAAGAAATCGTTTCGTCGATAATTATCCCAAGAAATTTAATAGTTTCAGTTCTATCAATGTTTATGCTATCAATTTTTAATAATGGTATAATGCTTGGTATTTTATTTTTTTGCTGATTGGAATGAAACAAGATGTAATTTGTTTTTTCTGTATTTATTGATAATTTATTTACTTTAAACCAAATGTTTAAACTCTCAAGGTCATCGTTTGCAGATTTGTGATGAATAAAATAAATTTGCATCATCAGCAAACATTATTGTATCAAGTTTTTTTAGTGATTGTGGAAGATCATTGATTTAGATTAAAAATAAAAGAGGACCAAGAATGGAACCTTGAGGAACTCCGCATTTTATTTTTAGGAAATTAGAACATTTATTATCGTTTGAAATAACACATTGTTGTCTGTTGCACAGATAACTTTTAAACCAATCTAAGCTAGTATTCTTTATTCCGTATATTTCTAATTTTTTTAGTAAGATATCATGATTAATTGTGTTTTAGTTTATTGTGTATTAGTTTAGTAACTACCCAAAAAAACGTCAAACCGAAACTTTTTAGTTTTAACAGGCGTAGATGTTTTCTCTGTTTTCTTGTGTTTCTTAAATGACCCGTCTTTCTGCATTTCTTTATTTATTCTTTCTCACTCACTTACTTTTTGTTTTCACTTTGATATCTTCTTTTTTCTCAAAAATCTCTTTTCCTAGCCCTGTATGATTGTCAGAGTGCTCCGAAAGGAAAATGTTGCCGTGTGTACAACACCGGAGAGGCATAAAACTACAACACCCTTTCGTTAAATAAGTTAATTTATGTTACGAAAAACTAAGAAATAAACGATTATTATAAATAATATCAATAATAGTAAACAAATTCAAAAGTTTAATTTTTGCTTAATTTAACTAAATTAAAACGCTTTATATATTTTTAAAATGACTAAGTTTAGACACGCTTAAATAGTCTAAATCTTGACGTTTAATGGAGGTTTGTTCTAAATATTATTCTGGATTTCATCCTAAACGGGTAATAGACACGAACTAAAAGTTTTTTCCAACTTTTTTTTAACGTTTCATAGAAGTTCATATGTTTATTGGGAATAACATCTTTACTACTTTATTGTTTTGAGCTTTTGATTCTTTAAAGAATTTTTGCTGTCAATTTTCTCTCATGAGATTATACAGTGACAAAAAGCGCAATACTACAATTACTGTCGCAACCAAACAACCATTTTCCGCTTTGAAAACGTAAAATCTATTTTCATGGATTGGTATGGTATTACGTAATATAACACTATTCTTATTTCATGGCATGTGTCCCCTTCCCGTGTCGTCCTCTTTGTTAACCATCGTTAATATGTGAAAAAAAGGATAATATTAGATAAAATAGTGGTTATATTTATTATATCACATTTTTCTAATTATATATTTTTCTATCTTAAGCATTAAAATGTTTTGAACAAAAGAGTTTTCACAGTTATTGATGTTGAGCTTTCAGTCTACATTTTATATCTACCCCTAGATAGTTTTTATCTTTCTGAAAAATCATTTTTGAATAGCACTGGTTGAATAGAGTATTTTACTTTTGAACAGATGATATTTGATAAAAACTCTCTGGGCAAACATATTGTCGCAAAAAAAAAAAAAAAAAAAAAAAGTTTCGGCACCGTGTTTTAAACACTCGTTTATTAACTTCGCAAGTAAATACTTGTGTGCTAGCGATCTAATTAATGTGAAATTAAATTCGATTTTCGAATTAATTATGTGGTGGATAGTTCATTTAAAAGTACTAAGGTGTCTAAGTTGATAATGGAAAGACGCCAAAAAAAAAAAAGACCATGTGGAACTAAACAAATTCCAGTTTTTGTTGCTTTAATTGTTTTAACTGGGACAAGCTCTCTTTACTTCGTTTTTATGTGAGTTTTTATCAATGTTTTTGTTTTATTTTAAAAACACATTTTCTTTTATGCTTTTTCAAAAATTTTCTTAAATTTATCAAAGTTTAAACATTTCACAATGTATAAATAATATTTTAATTTAAAATATTGTTAACAGATGTCCCTAACTCATTTTTCAAAGATCGAAAAAGTAATCTTTGACATTAGACTACAACAATTAAACTACAACTAAAACTAAAAAAAAAACAACGAATTAATATATTTAAAGTATTCATTTATAGAAATAATGACACAAACTATATGACAATATATGAAAATATATATGAAATAATGACACAAACCTTATGAATTAAAAAACACAGGTAAATCTACACTCCAGATCTTTTATATGATGACCTTTTCATATAAAGTGAAATTTGTTTCAGCATTAAATCGAGTTGTTTGAAAGAGGTAATTCCATATCAATTGACCCAGAAATTTTTCAAAATGTTACCATGCATTTCAGATTTTATTGATTATATACAGTTAATTTTTATACAGTTGCTTAGTAAAATAATTCCTTTAAAATTTTAGCCTCTAACTCTTAGAAGATTCTGAAATATGACCATGTTACTTTTAGCAGGTCTAGGCCAGGCCTTTCTTGTCCCCTCAGAATTGTGACATTTATTTAGAGATTTCAAGTCACATAACTTTAAAAAAAAAGAAGATCTTTTTACTTAAAAATTTGTAACTGGCTATTTTCAGGGGTGACAAATCCAATAAAATAATCAGAAATGTGAAAAAAATAATTATTAAGTACCTCTAATTCTCAATTTAAATAAAATTAGGAAATTTTTTTATAAAAAACAATTTAAGAAATAATTTTTAAAACATCTTAAAAAAGATCATTGAATATAGAGTGGTTAAAAACCTAATGGAACAACCATAAAAAAAAAAAGACAATAATTTCAAAGTTATTTTTACAGAAAGAAAATATAATTTTTTTTTTTTTTGAAAAAGTAAGTGGGGCATAGCAAAGTGCGACAAATCGGCTAACGAGCGGGCGTTTGATCAAAAAAAGACAGAAAAATGAACCTCATGTCTTCTTACTTTTACTTAAGCAAACATTAGCGTTCGCTTAAAATTTTTAAAAATAAACGCATAACTTTAGCAATTTTTTCCAAGTAATCATGCGATAGTTTTTTATTTATTTAAAGAAAACAATATTTTTATTTATTTAAAAAAAACAATTTTATTTATTATAAAAAAAACAATAAGTTATAAAATTTCAAACGCATTTTAAAGAACTTTAAAAGAAACCATGCTATTATTTTTTTATTTTAAATACGCAGCTGAAGAAAGTAATTATGTTTTAGCATGGTTTTTACATGCCTTTAAAGTTTAAAAATATTTTAAGATTTGCAGAAATATATATATTTTAATAGAATATATAGAACCAGGGGTGGCGCAGCGTTTTTTGGTCTTTGAGATATCTAACTTCCAGACATGGAGCAAACTCCTAACATTTATATGTTTATATTTATGTCAAATAAGGATGCTTTGCAAAAAAATTGTGATGGTTGGAGCCTGGGAAGAAAAAAAGCCCTAAATTTTTAGCCTCCTGCCCCAAACGTGAGAGCAACAAGTTGATGATATATTTTTTGAACTATTTTTCACTAGACTTATATTCATCAATAAATTTTAAATTTCATAGTAAAATATTTTAGCATTCAAAAAATATGGCTATATAAAGTTTAATCCCCCCTCAATTTGAGGGGGTTGCAAATTATATATGGTATAAAATATTTTTTTCTGGATATTTTTTTACTAATTTTAGTTTTTCTGAATATCCAAAACCTTTTTAATACATGCAAGTTGAGGTATATATTTTTATAATATATTTGTTTTTTAAGCTTTTTCACTCTTCATTCAGAAAAATTGTGTCAAAGTGTCAAAAAAAAAAAGAAAAAGAAACAATTTAGCTAAAAGCGAAGTTAAAAAGAAAATAAGGGAAAACGAGTTCCGGAATTATCTAAACAGTTTTCCAGATTTTTAAAATATGATCTATGTAAAGTTATTGTATATTAGTTATCATTAATTTGCGAGCACTTTGCCAATGCGCAAAAAATTGTTTTGAATTAATAAAAAATTGATAAAATTCAATAAGCAATATTGATATATATATATATATATATATATAATATATATATATATATATATATATATATATATATATATATATATATATATATATATATATATATATATATTATATATATATATATAATTATTATATATCTTATTAACTAGAATAAAAGTTATTTAAAAATAAAACTCCCTTATAATTTAATAAAAATATATTTAAATTAAAAAAAAAAAAAATTAAAAGAATTGAAAATAAAACTGACTTTTGCATGGCCGAAGGCATGGATTTTGAAGTGAAGGTGCTATCTATTTTTAAAAAAAAGTCCTCTATATCTGTTATTTGACATACCTCTTCAATTAGACATTCATCATTAAAAAAACGAATGTTTATTTAAAAAAAAAACGATTTGTCGCGCCCGCATAGCCCCTGGTGCCACAGCCTTATAAGATTATGCTACAAAAAAGCGAGGGGAAATCCCCCAGCCACCCCCCTAGTGTTCTAGTTCAATACAATTTCATATGCACATTTATCAGTACTTCAAATGCCAAAAATTTCAGAGTTCCAGCTAGTTTATAATATAGTGAAAAATCAATATCAGTATTCCACTTCAAAAAAGTGGGTACCGTACCAAGCACTCTCAACTCTTATTTTTACATTGTTTAAAGTGTAATCGTATGCGCAAGACATTATGAGATATCCTGGTAGTATAAAAATTAAGTTTTAATAAATTTGGATAAAACTCTAAAGTGTTTTTTGTATATTATATTGCGTTTTTTCTTTAATAAATTTTTTTTAAATGAAGTTTTCAGTATAAAAAGTTTTTTTTTAAGATTTTTTCTTCAATAACGTTTTCAGTATAAAGAAATGCCTTTGTTTTTGGCAGTAGTTAACTGCGCAAATATTAGTGGAGTAGTTGATAAAAATGTGTCATTTTTTCATTTTTCAAGAAACAAAGATAGGTAAGTACTTAAATTTAATAATTAAGCATTAAGTGCTTAATTGATATAATTTAGTCCTTAACATTATTATTTTTATTTAATATTTGAAACACAAAATTAAAGTTGGCCATTGTGCAACTTTTCAAACTGATGCGTTTTTGTTTTCTTTTGGTATCAGTCAAAGTTTTGATTTTGATTTTATCAAGCTATTTTACTGATTAATTTATATAATTTAATTATAATGCAGTTATTATACAATGTAAAGTTTATGTTATTAATGTTATAATTATTTGTTTGTTAGCATTTGGTTGCATTTTCTTAGCATTTGTATTAACTTTGAATTTTTTTTTTTAATTTTATACTACCAGGGTATCCCACAATCCTCTGTAAACAAATTACATGTTTTTATGTGAGTCGACAATGCTTGGACCATACCTTGTGATCCATATATAAAAACCCATATAATTGAAGATCTAAATCCATATATAAGAAAATATATATATTTTCTGAAAGATTAATCAATATAGAATGATGTGTGAATTTATATATATATATATATATATATATATATATATATATATATATATATATATATATATATATATATATATATATATATATATATATATATATATATTAGGGCTGTACCGGATTTCGGCTCCGGCTCCTGCTCCGGCCAAAATCTGGCCATTTTTACAAATCCGGCCCAAATCCGGCTCCGGCAAAAATTTAGCAAATCCAGCATAATTATAGCCGGAGTTTTGAATTTTGTCAAATATTTATTACATTTTTTTTGCCCCTGTTTACATGTATACCTAATATTTTATTTATAAAAATCAATTTTTTTTGTAATTCTATATTTTATGAATTTTATCCTCATATTTGTTTTGGTATTTGTATTTATATTTCTTTATAATTTAATAAGCTTAGTTTAATTTCAAACAACAACGCAACAAAAAATTCTGAAGGGAAGACACACGATATTCTACAATGATGCAGGTATAAAGACTATGATGTCAACCCTAATCAAGTGATTGGATGAGCGTTTTAAAAGCATTGCAAAGAGAAACCTCTTTATATACTGACGAGGCTGGTTGGCTTACAATTTAAAACTAAATTCTCCTCATTATAGGCAACACTGACAGCTGAAAAAACAAGATTGAAGTCAATCTGAGCATGCTGAACAGAAGATTGACAAAACTTAAGAAAATCCACCAAAATAAGCCGGGCTTAATAATTTTTCTACATCATCATCATCATTACTCTGGCAATTTATTGAAAAAATTATTCAGTCTACGTCCGCTGGTGGCAGGGCACATAAACAACAATTACTAAAAGGCATTGAAACTCAGCTAAGAACCAGAAATAAATAGACACAATGATCCACTACAGTGGCGGAGTGACAAAATCCCGGGAAAAAAGTTCAATAGAATTACTATAAACTTTTAAAACATATGGCCTATAGAATTTCTTTAGAATTTCTATTAATTTATATATAGAAATTGCTATAAAACTTTTTAAATAACAACAATGAAGTTTAACAGAAAACAGCAGTCACTTGTTATTCTGAATAGTCCACATTGTTGACCATGCTCAACACCAAGTAGGGATGTACAGGATTTTGGCTCCTGTAGTTTTGTTTTGAAATCCGGCTCCGGCTCCGATTCCGGCCGGATCTGTCAGTAGAAATCCGGCAAATCCGGCTCCGGCCGGATTTGAAAAAATTAAATCCGGTACAGCCCTAATATATATATATATATATATATATATATATATATATATATATATATATATATATATATATATATATATATATATATATATATATATTATGGCCACATGGTTTATATTTTTTATATATCAAGGCCACATGGGTTTATATATCATTAAGGCCACATGTACTTATATATCATTAAGGTCATATGTGCATTAAAAACAGGTTTAAAAAAATTGCCTAAATTCATTTAAATTGAGAATTACAGTTACTTAATAATAATTTTTATATTTCTGATTATTTTATTGGATTTGTCACCCTTGCAAATAACCAGTTACAAATTTTTAAGTAAAAAGATCATTTATTTTTAAAGGGATCTCAAACTGCCGAGACAGGTTGGGTTCATATTAAAGAAAATGTTTTAAAAAACACTTAGGCTAAATTTTTTTGATTAGAACTAAATAATGAATGCACACCATTAATTTTAAAATTTATGTTTTAGTTAAAGCTCGCCTTCTCCATTTTTTTTTGTTTCTTGGAGTCTGTATAATGTTAGCTGCAATTTGCAGACTTGATAATTTATTCCATGTGTGTTTAATTCATAACAGTTTCGGTATATGACGTCATTGTATAAATTTTTTCTTTCAAGATATTGTATTATTTTTTTGCCACAATCACCAAATCTTTTTACTAAATCCAAAAAACTGTTTATGATGCAATTAAAAATTAAATTTATAAAATTTATAAAAATAAAAGTTAAATATATAACGAATATTTACAGTAAAACTTACTGGTTTAAACTAAATATAAACTAGATACTAAAAGGATAATTTTACTAAAGCGCATAAATTAATTTAACTGAATAAAAATTAGTGACTTGAATAAAACATATAAACTGAACTAAATTAAAGTTAAAACAAATATTTGTACTAAAATATACAAAAAATAGTTATTATATAAATATAATAACAAAGAATCGCATTAACTTGTTTGCTACCAGCCGAACAAAAATCTTTTTGTAGCAATCTCACATTTTTGTGAATAAAATTTGAATGGACTAACATTCACAATTAATTAAAATTTGATAATAATAAAGTTTTTAACACACATCATTAAACAATAAATGCTAAGTACAAAAAAACATTGTTTTTATAAGTAGTAACTAAAGCATTAAGTTTGAAAAATCCTCTTTTTTAATGAATAAAAAGAATATTTTTTCTTCAAAATACTTTGGTAATTATTTAACTCAATACTTAGCATTTGTACAAGTTAAGTTTTACATTGTTAACGCTGTTTTATTTTATAACTAAATTTAAAGAAGTTTTTATTATGAAGATTATTCAAGATTTTTTAACTTTATGATTTTTTACAATAACACAATAGCCCTTATTTTTTCTTGATTACGCAGCAAATTAATTAAACCTTTAGAACAAATAAATTCTATGCGTCTAGAATGGAAATATATGTACAAAACAAGGTAAGTTGTAAAGCATACTCGAAAGCTGCTACCAGAGGCTTGCAGTAGTGAAAGAGTTAAACCATAACTAAATGTAAATTAAACATAAAAGAGAACAACTCTATTAAACCATATGAATTAAATATAAAATGAGAAACCGCATCATACTGCCTTTATTTTGTCTCTGCCTGTTAACTCTAATAATCACTAAATATGTATAATTGTGTCATGATTTTTGCTGCTTCTAAAACAAAGTAATAAAGCAAGTAAAAAAAAAAAATTATAAATATATATATATATATATATATATATATATATATATATATATATATATATATATATATATATATATATATATATATATATATATATATATATATATATATATATATATATATATATTGCGGTAGTGGTGTAGTGCTAAAGCGCTCGCTTCATAAACAAGTGGTTCCGAGTTAGATCCCCACCACGTCCCTGGTAGTACCGCGCTCAACTCGTTTCTCCGCGCAGCGGCCTTGTTCGTCAAGGTTCGTGTTTCGGAGTTATAGAGTTGAGAGAGGGTTATAGCTACAAATAAGTAGCCTCCTTGTCTGTAGTGGCCTTCTCGGCCTTGAGGAGGTGAATTAAAATATATATATATATATATATATATATATATATATATATATATATATATATATATATATATATATATATATATATATATATATATATATATATATATATGTATGTATGTATAATTTTTTACTAAATTGCAAATCTTTTTTGTGATTTAGTAAAAAATTATACAAATATTTGATTTTCTGATTTTAGTAGAAAAAATATTTATATCTTTAAAAAAAACAACAACAAAAAAATGCTTAAATTAAATAATAAATTATTCCATGCATGTTTAATTAATAACAAAAATTTTAGAGTTCCAGCTAGTTTAGAATATAGTGAAAAATCAATATCAGTATATTTGAAAAAATGTACTGATAAATACAAAATATATTTGAAATTCAAAAAAAAAAAAATTGAGAAGGCTAGCTTTGACCAAAACTATAATTTTACTTTTGTTTGTATGCATTTATTATTTAGTTTGCCTAAATCTGCACAAATATGTTTTAAAAAAACAAAAATAAAAACACTTTTAATTTAAAAATGATAAAATATGATGTACTTCAACATTATTTTAATTTTTTTTTTAACTTTTAGACATCTTTAAAAATTAGCTTAATTGTTGAAGTCACTTAAATGTTGTTGAAATTTTTTTTTTACCTTAAAAGTCTTTTTCGACTGCGATATAAGGATATATATATATATAGAGGCTTTCACAGGAAGACAATTTCACGTCTTTATATGACCACGCAAGTTACATTTTGCTATGACGGTTTGACTGCGGCTAATTCAAAAAACATTTTAGAAACGCGCTAAATGAAAAATATTCTAAAAAAGTGAAATTAATTACATCAAAACTTCTTAACACATGTTTTTATATTAGCGAAACGATTTTAAATAAAGCAACAATTTACTGAAAAAAAGTTTTGCTTTTTAAATATAATTGACAGTTGTACATATTTTTTAAATTTAAAACATATAAATTGTTTAAGTGTTCATTTCTAAAATAAATCTTATTAAAAAATAAAAATTTGTTTTGTTTTTATAAGCGATGACATTCTACGACTACGAAAGTCTCTTTAACAAATTTAAATATAAGAATGATTAAATTAAATGCATTTAAAAAGATAAACAAAATTTCGATAAAAAAAAAGTTTTAGAAAACCGTAACAATTTAATAAGTTTGATCTTAAATGCTTTTATATTATCGAAACGCTTTTAATGAAGTAAAAAAAAATACTTCTAATTAATTTTAAAAAAGTACTTATAAAATGTTTTTTTATTTTATTTATATAACTATGTATTTTTTATGAGAAATATTTAACTTTTATACATATTAAACAAATAAAAAATATATAAAAATGTTGAAACAAAGATTAAAAAGGTTTTTTAAGCGTAAATTAAATAGACTAAGCATTTTAGTTTGATGAGTTTTGTTTTTAGTTACGTTATATATGTATATTTATTTTTTTGTGTTTTTGCTTTAACTAAGTATTTTTTTTTATTTTCTCTTTCGTTAATATTTATTATTTTTTTTAATTTTTTTTTTCAGATACGTCAAGGTAAGTTTTTGTAGCGCGTTTTTAAATTTTAAAAATATGCCGTGATCAAATCGCACGTCTTCCTGTGAAAGCCAGATATATATATATATATATATATATATATATATATATATATATATATATATATATATATATATATATATATATATATATATATAAATAAGTACTTTTTGAAAGTAATAATACTACTATAGTTTTATTACTTTTATAATGCAGTTAGTGAATAGAGTGTTATTACTTTTGTAGTCGTAATTTTATTTTGTTTTTTATAACTTTTTCGCAACAAACTTATAATAATTTGCTTCCTGAATATAAAGTACACGACTTTGCATGAACAAAAATTTTGAAGACCAGATATTTTTCTGGATTTTTCATTTCGCGATTGATCAGTTCAACCCTTGTTTTTTTTTTTTTTTTTTGCTACTTATTATCATACATTTTTTTTAGATTGCCATATTTGATAAAAACATACCATTTTATGATTGCTATTATGAATGGCGTTATCACTTTTATGGTTTATTTAATGTTTGCAAGAGCAACTTTTACGGATCCTGGTGCATTTCCAAAAGGTTAGTATACATTTTAGTCTATGGTGACTTATATATCCTCCAAAAGCTTATAAATCCTCCAAACATTTATGCATCCTCTAAAAAGTTTTTTGTCTATTTAAAAATTTGATGAAGGCTTAAAATTTCTAATTGTCCATTTTGAACTTCGAGTTAGTACTTATTATAAGATTATAAGTCATGTTTATGTGACCATAAAACTATATTTACGTCATTAAGTTACTATAGTCTGACCTGTAATTTTATTCAAACTATATTTAACTCTAATTTTCAACTTTAATTACCCAGCTAACACAAAATGTTCAACAAACGTTGCCAATATTTAACAAATGTTGCGAACATTCAAGAATGTTTATGAACATTCACAGATTGTGCTTGAACATTCACAATATTTGTCAAACGTACTTGGACGTTTTGTGTTAGCTGTGTATTTAACTTTAATATTAACTATGATATTTTTAACTTAAACATTTACATAGATGAATTTTTTCTTGGAATTCCCAGAATTCCAGAAATTCACTTGAAACTCCTTTAATTTTCCAGAAATTTCCGGATGTTTTTTATTAATTTGAAAAAAATTTTTATATATTTTTACATAAAATTTTAAATACGACAACTTTTGCATTTAAACAAATATGTTTTCTATAATTAAAATTTTCATGAGATCAATTTTTGTAACAATTTTTTTTTTTTTCATTTTAATTCATTCAAATTAACTTTTTTGAATATTAAAAATTCCTTTTTGTAAAAAGTTAAATAATCTAAATTCCTTTTTAAAAGTTTACGAAAGTTTTTGTTGTCAGTTAATACAATCAATTTTTGATAAAATAATTTTCCGGGATTTTCTAGGATTTTCATAGAAGAAAATTTCCGGGATTTTCATAAAGTCAAATACTCATCTACGCATTTAACTGTTACTCTAATTAAGCATGTTTTTGTAAAAAGTAATTTTTTATATAGTTATTATTATAGTAAAGTAATATTAATTTATAATATAATTTAATAAATAATTATATTTAGGTTATAATATATTGTAATAAATAATAGTTTAATAAATAATATAAATTAAAGTTTTATATAAGTTATAGTAAAGTATTATATAAATTTTTATATAAATTATAGTCTAGTAAATAATAGTTGTTTAATTGAGTTGACTTCCAACAAGGCTACATGCAACCACTATTCGAAGTTACTAGAAAACAAGTAATTGTTAAAGAATTAGGAAATGGTTACAGAAGACTTGAAAGTTTGTAGGTTTTATAAGTCAAGAAAACACGAGAGTTCCAAAGAATTGATGTGCAAGGAAAAAAACTAGATGAATGAAAGTTAGTAGATAAATAAAAGTTTTTAGAGTATAAAGGAAAGATACAGTAAAAGAACTTTGTTGAATGAGAAGTGGGGTGAGAATGAATAAGTGATAAGAAAGCAAGAACTTTTGTTGATGGAACTAGAGATGATATCTCATTTGAACATAAATCATGATAATTATTGTAGAAAGAGAAAGATATAAAAACTTATGAAGATGGAACAGTTGCTCAAGCTTGGCAGATAGAGCAGGTCCAACTATGTTTACAATATTTTTCGATTTCATCTATAAGAGAAAGAGCATTGTTAGAAGAACCAGCCTAAATGTGACAACAGTATTCCATGCAGGAACAAATAAGAGATTTGTAGAGGTAGAGAGCAGAATTTGGTGGAAAAAATGGTAAGCATGATAAAGTGGTTATCAGTAATAAAGTAGTTATGGTTTCCATTAGAGGTTAGTAGTGAATAATAATCTGAGAAAACACAAAGTAGATGATTAATTGATAGTGTTGCCATCTCTCGATATGTCAACAATATTGCAATAGTCTTTTGAAGTAAACAACATTTTTTTAATTTTTTATTTTATCTCTAACTTAGCAAAATAAAAGCTTTTATTCAGAATAAAATTAAATATTTGTTTTGTGTGTACTTAATTTATATAAAAAATTTTATTAAAATAAAAATAGTAAAAACTACATTAACTACAGAATAGCATTTAACCAGAAAGTTTATGACTCCTTCCTTACCAATAACTCTTATATGACCAGAGCTGGCATCAAACCTAGGTTCTCTTGATTTTGAGTCTGAACTTTAACCACTGCGCCATGGCTGCTTCCCAGTAGGTAGAGGATGTGTTAAAAGTGTCTAAAACAGGTTTTAATACATATTTCAGACACATCTTGCGCTATTACACTACTTTTGCAAACTAAAAACACCTTTGAAATATCAACTTGAATTTTATATATTTTTTTGAATTTCAAATATATTTTGTGCATCAAATTTTCAATAGTATAACACTAATCTTTATATAACATCAAATCAAAGTATATTAAAAATTAGATAAAAATATTTAAAAATATTATCTTTACCTGGAATTTTATAATCTATAAGTAACAGAAATATCAAAGTATAGTCTAAGTGCTAACAATATGTTACATAAATGGTTTTCTCTGCAGTGTTTTCTCTGTAATGTTACATAAATGGTTTTCTCTGCAGTTTTTTTTTTCTTTGGCAAATATCATTAAATGAGTCATTTAATGTAGCCTTTAGTGACTAATCAAACTTTAATATGTTTTCAGGATTATAAATGATAATAAATTATGATTTATATATATGATAATATATAACCAGAGGCGCACAGAGGGAGGGGGATCCAGGTCAGTTTACCGCAGGCAGCATGTTTATCGGGCATCGCCAGAGGTCAAAAAATACTAGAAGTGTTTTATTATTCTTATTTATATTTTATATAATAAGAATAATAAAACACTTTGAGCCTGCTTGTTTTACTGTTATTTCATTATCATTTATCATTGTTATTGTTTATATTTTTTATATATTAGTTTTTTAATAATATTATTTACATAGCTATTCACTTATAAATCATTATCTCCAGATCTTTTCAAGTATTGCAAAAGTTTGTCATTTTCGCTAATTTAACTATGGTTTTAAACTGTCATCTGTGAAAAAAAAATAAGTTTAAGTTGCAGCTCAATTCAATATGACATTTATTTGTTTTGGGCTCAATGAAAATGCAGCAGGCTTGATACTGAGTACAATTTACTACAATTAAGTCGCTTACTGGGGCATTGTGTAATTTACAAAAAGAGTGTTTTTCCATTCACAAATGTACCAGGTAATGAATTCAAATAACTATTTTCTTCTGAGAAAATTCTTATAACTGATGGTTTACCTCCGTCAATAAATTTATTTCCATTTTCTCATTTAAACAAAGTTTCTACTCAAATTAATGATTATGTTTCATCTCATGTTTTAGATTCAGATGAAGAAATTCATGCATCAATAGACATAGTTTGCAAATATTATGATATAACTAAATTCTGTTCTCTAATCATTGTCAAAATTAACCCTCTCTCTTTATTTCATCTAAACATATCATCTTTGCAAAAACACTTTGAGGAATTAAACGTATTACTATTGTTAATAAGTTTTGAACTTTTCATTATTGGTATAACCAAAACATGATTAAAAAAAGGAATACCATCAATTCATCCAATCCACGTTGATAACTACAACATTGAGCACACACCAACTGAATCTTCTTGTGGAGGAACATAGTTATACTTATCAAAAAAAAAATATATATATAAATGAAGGGATGATTTAATGATTTATACACCATATTGTTTAGAATCAACATTTGTTGAAATAATTTTTTTTTAAAATCTAATATTGTAGTTGGTTGCATTTATAAACACCCTTGCATGGATATAAACAATTTTACAATTATCATGTCTGTCCTTCAAAAAATAAATGCTGAAAGTAATTCGGTTTTCTTACTAGGTGATTATAATATTGATCTGATACAATCAAATAATGACACTGCAACGTCTGATTATTTAAACTTGCTTTCTTTTTATAATATTCATGCTTTTATCCCTTTGCTAACCAGAATTACTAACCACTCTGCTACAATCATTGACAATATTTTTTGTAATTTAATAGCTAATGAAATTATTTCAGGAAATTTGAACTACTCCTATCTCCAACAAATATTCTTGAAGTTTCATCTCTTATATCTAATATGAAGTTGAGAAAATCAACAGGCCCAAATAGCATTCCCACAAACATTTTTATAGATTTTAACAATGAATTTTCAAATATTCTTTTTAAATTTTTTAATTTATCATTCATAAATGGAACTTTTCCAAATATTTTAAAATTATCTTGTGTTATTCCAATATTTAAAAACGACTCTAAACTTTTATGTACTAACTACAGACTTATATCTCTTTTATCTAACATTAGTACACTTCTTGAAAAAATTATGTATTCTAGAGTGTACTCTTAACTCTTTTAACTGTTTAAATGAATTTCAATTTGGTTTTTGTTCAAAACATTTTACCTGCCATGCATTGATAAGTATAACTGAAAAAATCAGAAAAGCTCTCAACACAGGTCATTTTATTTGTGGTATTTTTATAGATTTACAAAAAGCTTTTGATACCGTTGATCATAACATTTTGATTTCTAAATTAAAACACTATGGTATTCATGGTATTGTAAATAACTGGTTTCAATCTTATCTTTCAGATCGGAAACAGTTTATAAGTATTAATGGTTATAATTCTATTAATAAATCTGTTGTGTGCGGTGTTCCTTAAGGTTCTGTTCTTGGTCCTCTTTTGTTCTTAATTTATATTAATGACATTAATGACAACTCTATTTGCTTCTCGTCAATTCATCTTTTTGCTGATGACACAAACCTATTGCATATTAACAAATCGTATAATTCTCTATGTAAAAACATAAATTCGAATCTAAAAGGTATTATTCATTGGTTAAATGCTGGCCTAATATGTCTTAACAAAAAAAAAACTCTATTCGCTTCTCGTCAATTCATCTTTTTGCTGATGACACAAACCTATTGCATATTAACAAATTGTATAATTCTTTATGTAAAAACATAAATTTGGATCTAAAAGGTATTGTTCACTGGTTTAATGCTAACTTTGTCTTAA